CAATGGGGAAAGAATAATCTCTTAAACTAATGGTGCTGGGTCACCTGGATATCCACAGGTGAATGAAGTTGGCCCCCTACCTGACATCATGTACAAAACTTAGCTCAAAGCAGATTAAAGACCCAAATTCAGGAACTCAAACCCTAGAACTGTTAGGGAAAACGGATACATCTCATGAGATTGGAGTCTGAGGGATGACCTCTCCCCTCAGGTGCTCCCCCCGGCTGAGGGTGGCCCCCGCGGCAGCCTGGCCTACAAGTACGTCATCCACGAGGACCTGCTGCCCCTCATCGGGAGCAACAACGTTCTCCTGGAGGAGACGGACACCTACGAGTGGGCGCTCAAGAGCTGGGCCCCCTGCACCAAGGCCTGCGGAGGAGGTACTGCCCCTGGGCCTGGCTGCCCCAACCATCAGCTGCCTTGTGGGTGCGGCCCTGGGCCTCTCAGAAGGAGACGAGCAGGAGTGGCCAGAGGGCTGACACTGTCTCTACCTGCGGTGTCCCCAGTTCATGACTCAGTTTCTCCTTGAAGATCTCCAGGGTGTGGAAGCCCGTCTGGTAGGGTCTCCGAGCTGGGGCTGGGGTGCTAGAGCAGTATGCAGGGCAGGGCGTCTGTGCAGAGAGGCAGCCAGGTCCCCACGCACAGTTCACCTGGGATAGAGAGACAGGCTGGTCAGGGAAGGCTTCCTTAGAAAGTGACCTGGGCAGGAGGGAGTGCAAAGGCCCAGACGGAGGTGGGATTGGCCCTCCAGGCTTTCCAGAGCTCACTGTCCCCGAGGCCCCAGGCAAGGCAGTGGGGGCCTTGCCCAACCAGCCCTTGGCAGCCTGCCCGCCCCCCGCCCCCCACTACAGGTATCCAGTTCACCAAATACGGCTGTCGGCGCCGACGAGACCATCACATGGTACAGCGGCACCTGTGCGACCACAAGAAGAGGCCCAAACCCATCCGCAGGCGCTGCAACCAGCACCAGTGCCCCCAGCCTGAGTGAGTGCCCGGGAGGGGCGCAGAGCCCGATCCCGTGCCCGCCAGCCCAGGGTGTGGCAGACCTTCTCTCAGCCCTGGCCTTGGAGGAGGGGCTGCGGAGCCTGCTTCCTCCAGCCTGTAGCCCGGAGACTCAGCCCCT